GCGCTCCCCAAATTTCACCAGGCTCACTGTTCATGAACTCTTGGAAGTGATTGCACAAAGGATAGTAACATCTCATCCTGTGTTCTTTGGATCTATTTCATTCTCTGGGCTTGTTCCATCACTCACTGCCAGCGCAGTTTCACCAAATACAGTCATTCGATCAAATTAACGGAGTGCCCGTCTAGCCCGCACCTCCGATTAGCACGGTTGGATACGTACGGTGCGAAAGAAGTTCACCAGACATGCATTTAGAGTATGTTTCACTCATGAACCAAGTGCCACACTCGTGTGGGCGGCCTGGGGCAAACAGCCTCGATGTGTAGCGAGCAGATAAAAGCTGTTCTTTTATTGGGTTGCATCTTTAAGCAGGACGTATAATGTCATTCCAAAGCTGTTCGGAGCTAGGCTCCGGAAAATATCCACTGGGAATTTGGTGGGGGTCGGAGGATATTCCACGATAAATTAACTCATGTTATACTTGGTTCGCCTCGCAGATTATATCTTTAGCAATCTTGTCACTGCTTTTTGTTGCTCGTCACAGCAGTTGCAAATGGATTCTTAAAATGTATTTATAACATAATTATGTTAATGCTGAGTGTCTGCTGCTGCTGCTGTGTCCTGTACAGCGCTTTGAGATTTCTGATGAAAAGCGCTATACAAATGGAATTTTTTTTATGCAAGCATATGGCTACAGATCTCTCGGGTTGGTTATACTGTAACACATTTACGTTTTATTTTTTGTTCCTGGGTAGTAAGTGTTATTTTCAAATTGCTTATGCCTCAAAAGTACAGAAAATGGCTTTTATTCTCCACAAACTTTGCTTTTGTGACCAGGACAGTGATATTTAGAAATGTACCTAATGTATTTTCAATGAGAAAACGTGGTGTGCATTTGTGGCATTCCTTCACGTAAAGACCTGGTCCCAAACGCAAAGTTTGTGGGGAATAATAGCCATTTTCTATACTTTTGAGGCATAAGCAATTAGAAAATTACACTTACTACCCAAGAACAAAAGTCGTGTTACATAGTGTTACTGCAGCGCGCCCCCTGTTACCAAGTGTAGGTTGAATGCCGATTGCCATTGGCTGTGGATGGTCAACATTGCTATCCTGGATTTAAGATTAATGTCATGCATTTATTAGTCCAGGTGTCGGAGAATCGTTACCTGTGAGCCAACGTAATGTATGAAACAAGCCAGCGCTTGTGTTTCATTATCTCCATGTTCAAGGCCGTGTTGTGTGCATGGGAGCATGGTGTATGCCCAATGATCCACATCCTACCCCACACTTAGCAACCACACGGCATTGCATTAAAGACACGCATACACACACACACGTTCCCCTGGCATATTTAAATAAATTATTGATCATTTACAGCAACTTTGTCATTCGGCTGTCGTCAAAACAACCCGCACCGGTCATGGGAATTGTTTTTATAATATTTCACCACGCACGTCAATGCGGGCCACGAAAGTTTAGTCCCAGAACCGGTTCAGATATTACTCAACAATGATGCTAACCACTGCGCCACCGCTCCCCACCAAATATTATTTGACAACTCCAGTTATCAATGGGGATAATTGTATCTAGATTTGAAGCTTTCGTGACTGCAAGGATTCATACTCTTGGGTTTTTTCGGTAAAGTCACGTAGGTAAAAAATAAAAAAGTGTTGACATCCCCAGCGTTAAACAGTACTGCCTTTTTTGTATTTGGATTGTCAGCCAACACCGGTTACAACCCCAAGTCGAGGTACACCGATTGTTCTCTTTTAGCCCCCCCCCCCCCAACACGTTCCATTCACTGGCTACCACATTCAGATAAGCACCCCCTCCCCCTTAATTTGTATTTAAGAGCTTGTCGCTTGGATTTTTCCTCACTTGATACAGTAAATTTAGCTATGACGGTCCCACCTGATGACGGAGACCTGTGTTGCCTCCGAAACGTCGTGATTTATTATTTTATTTCAATTATTATTTCTATTATTTTATATTTTTTATTTTTTTACCTACGTAACTTTACCGAAAGAACCTAAGAGTATAATTGTATCTCTTCCATATACAGTAGATGGTGGCATCGAATGCTTTCGTCGAGTGTGCGGCACCGTCGCTTAATCCGCTGCACGCTGTGGCGACGAGAGCAGCCTCGAGTGGCTGAACAGCAAATCTCACGAACCCAATGACATACAGCGTATACGAATCTAAAAAACGCTGATTCTCACACAATGATTTGCATGAGTTCATGCACGCACGTTACGTGAGCGTAAACAATCGATATCCGTCTCTTATTAACCGACGCGTAATGCATCGTCAGGATCCCGATGTCATAAACTATTGTGTTTGAATTCAGCCAGGTAAGTCGCACTGATATACATTAAAACAAAATTCAGAAGCGACCTGGCCACAAATAACAGCTCAACAAAGTGGCTGGTCGTGTGGAAATGTACAGCGGGTCAAATACTCGAAACGCGTGTCGTTGGTTCTAAATGTGGAGGGGGGAAAGCGGAGGACCCGGAGAAAAATCCACGCGGCCACGAGAAGAACATGCGTCGTGGTCAAGATCGAACCCACGGCCTTCTGCATACCGGGCGAGCTAGTTAACATCTCCTAGCCACCGTGGTCCGCACGCAATGGAGCCGCCTCTCTCCCTTCCCTCCTTCCCCATTGTCAGTTCCCGCGTCGCGGCTCTGCGGGCTACTGCGTGTAGAATGTTTACGGTCTTCTCTGCCCTGCCTCTCTCTATAGCCACGACCCTCCTCCTCCTCTTCGCATGGAGCCGAGGTGACGTCACCTCGAAGCTCTTCCTGCGCGCGCCGTTCACGCCAATACTCCGTGCCTCATACGTCTTTTTATTCCCAAATGCCGAATTAGTATCAATCAATCAAGACTTTATTTCTACAGCACTATTTCGTGCAAAAGATGCAATTCAAAGTGCTGTACAGATTAAAAAAAAACATTGTTAAAAGACTTAATCGCAAGAACAATAAAAGCTATTTCCATACAAACAAAATCGCATCGTAATAAATTGCTATCGAAGGCATACATAAAATAAAAATAACAGCCGTAGCGAGAGGTGTGTATGATGGATGTTGTTCTGCCGGGCGCGGAAACATTTGCGGGGTCGCCGACACGGACAGACCCGACGTGGAATACTCCTCGTTGTCTTTCTCGCACGTAGTGCCCTTCATGGTGGATCCTGTGTTATTCGGACTTTTCAGCATGCGACATTATGTTGTTTTGTTGTGCACCCACACAACAGGCTTACTTCGTACTCATCGTCAGTCATTATTAATACACTGCTAGATGACGGCCTTTTCCAGGAGGACGGGATGCAATTCTTTCATCTGCTAAAACTGATCATTGTAAAAACTCAGTTACCTTCCCGGGGTTAATAACGCAATGTTCATAAATCAAAGCGATCCCCGAAATAAGATGCAACTTTCATTGCTGATAGACAACATTCATGTTATGCATGGTATTTTCACAGAGCTGTCGATGGGGTTTAAAGGGGATATAGTATTAGCTGTGAAGTTATTGATTTTATTAAGCTGACGCTTCATTGATTGTTTTTTTTTTTACAAAATACAGGCTGCTCTGGCAGTTCAGGAGATGCACAATTATTTAACGTTGGGGAAGCCAGTAGACCACATAGATGAATCGTGTATATTGTTTTCACCTGTACTGCTTGGGCTTGAAATCAGCTGCTCATCGTCCTTGTTCTATCCACTACTGGACGAATTCCCTTCCCACGTTGCCGCGTTCACCTTACGATCCTACAATGCCAAAATCTATCTCGCTCCTGCGCATCTGAAGTTCTCGCATTCGGCTGCCACTCTGTTACCAGTCTTTACCATTTGGCCATCATCCGTTCCAACACTGTGCCTTGCCCGAGCCCAACTACTTTTCTTAACAGCCAACATGTATCTAATGTTGTTCTCCCGATAAATATGTTACCATTTGTGTCAGCATAATTCCCCGCATGCGTGTCTACAGAGAGTATACAATGAATGGCAATGATAGTGATGACAAAGACGATTACGCATCGCGAATATATCTATGCGTTTAAACAGCCATCAACATGCATAAACACATCTGGGAGCAACCACGACTCTCTACAGATCATTGCCTCGCTCAACCTTTCCCGTTATCGACTGTTAACACAAGGGCTGTTAGCGAGCGCATATTACGGTTTGGACAGAGGCAGGTTCCACGCCCGGCCGCCTTTATCTCCCGAACGCTACTATTCAGAGACAGCGCAAAGTACTCATTTGAGACCGAGTCGACCTCGGCGAGAGTCACAGGAGCAGTTCAGAGGTCACTCAACGGCGATGATCTTTCACCTTTCACCACGAAGATAAAAGATGCCCCCGTATAGCCTTTAAGAGACTGTTGGGGCAAGTGCTTTTCGCGAGCACCTATAAAGGCCGGCACGGCACACGAGGGAGAGGGTGGCCAACAGCACGCCCGGCCGCCTTTGTCTCCCCAGTGGTGATGTTTACACATCACCACACCAGGTACTCGTTTGAGGCGGGGATCGAACGGGTCGCCGGGTTTCGTAGCGCCGCTCGCTGACCGCTACACGACACACACATGCACACCCACGCACATATCTCGCCTTCACGCAAGCGCGTGTGGTTTAATGTGGCTCGCGTGAAACCAAAACCCTCCACGTAGTTCCTTTTGGCGACGGTCGACATCGAATAACCGCACTCAAGCGCGGATAACAGGATGAGTGAGTGAGCACACAGCGTGAGGACCATGCAGGTCCTCACTCCGGCTCCAGTCCAGAGAGATTGACCCCACCAAAACTATCACCACCACCACTACCCACTCTCACCATCACTCTCGGGCAATGGCAATGGAGTAAGCGGAGCAGGGTATGGAAACTCGAGACGAAAACCCAGAGAGAGTGGAGGCCGAGAGGAGGGCGGAGCAGAGATCAGGGGGTGGACATGAGGACGAGCTGAGTAGAGGAGGAATCTGTGCAGAGCCGCGATTCCCACCTGGATTAGAGGCACCGCATCCCCACTTGGCTCCCGCGTGGCTCAGCGGGCTGCACAATTCCGCAGGGCTGGAGGGGAGACTGCACGCCGCGCTCTGCCCTCCCCGTCTCTCAAGTCAGCAGCGAGTGGCATCACAGCCGAGCACAACTCCGCTCCAACACAGACCCGAGCCTCCCCCACGCCCTCCTCCTCCTCCCTCCTCCTCCCTCCTCGGTCGCCGCCACCACCAAAAGGGGCCGCCCCTCCTACTACAGCTCCACCCACTCATCCACAGCACAAACACAAACCCCCACAGCACACACCACCCCACATCTCCCCCTCTACAGGGGCCGTTCATAAATGACGTCACGCGATTTTGGACGATTTTTGCCCCCCCCCCGTCGTTACACAAACCCCCCCTCAAATATGACGTCACAAAGCTCTGCCCCCCCCCCCCCCCAAATAAAACATGCTTCAAATCTCTTTAAACTATTGTCATTGTAGTGTGTATTTAATGTGGCGCTGCATTCTGATGTTGTAGGAGAAAACATTTATTAAAACGTCTATTTAATTAAGTAGAACGTGTTGTCTATATTTATTTAAAGTTGCGCCTTTTTACGTGACGTCACATTTCTCCAACCCCCCCCCCATCGTCACACATCGTCACAAATGTCTGACCCCCCCCCCCCACAGGTGCGTGACGTCATTTATGTACGGCCCCACAACACAGCACACACGCGGCACACCCGCATCTCCCCTCTGCAACACAGCACAGTAACTCCCCCCCCCACCCACCTACCTGCCCTGTCGACTACTCACCTAACAGCTCACCCAACACACCCCTCGCCAAGACCCCACTCGAACACACACACAGACACACACACACAGACACACACACACACAGACACACACACAGACACACACACAGACACACACACAGAGACACACACACAGACACACACACACACAGACACACACACAGACACACACACACAGAGACACACACACAGACACACACACAGAGACACACACACAGACACACACACACAGAGACACACACAGACACACACACACAGACACACACACAGACACACACACACAGAGACACACACACAGACACACACACACAGAGACACACACAGACACACACACAGAGACACACACACAGACACACACACAGACACACACACAGACACACACACAGACACACACACAGAGCACACACACAGAGACACACACAGAGACACACACACAGACACACACACACAGACACACACACAGAGACACACACACAGACACACACACACAGAGACACACACACAGACACACACAGAGACACACACACAGACACACACACAGACACACACAGACACACACACACACAGACACACACACAGACACACACAGAGACACACACAGAGACACACACAGAGACACACACACAGACACACACACAGACACACACACAGACACTACACACAGACCAACACACCGAGACCACACACACAGACACACACACATACACAGAGAGACACACACACAGACACCACACTCACAGAGACACACACACAGACACACCACACAGACCACACACACCACACGAGACACACACACAGACACACACTACAGAGACACACACAACACAGACACCACACACACAGACACACACACAGAACACACCACACAGAGACACACACACAGACACACACACACACAGACACACACACAGAGACACACACACAGACACACACACAGGACACACACCACAGACACACACACACCAGAGAGAAACACACACAAGACACACACACAGAGACACACACACAGACACCACACATAGACACACAGAGACACACACACAGAACACACACACAGAGACACACAACACAGACACACACACACAAGACCACACACACAGACACACACACAGACACACACACACAGAGCACACACACAGACACACAGACACAGAGACACACACACAGACACACACACACACAGAAACACACAGAGACACACACACACAGACACACACACAGACACACACAGAGACACACACACAGACACACACACACAGAGACACACACACAGACACACACACACAGAGAGGACACACACACAGACACACACACACAGAGACACACACACAGACAACACACAGAGACACACACACAGACACACACACACACAGACACACACACAGACACACACACAGAGACACACACAGAGACACACACAGAGACACACACACAGACACACACACACAGACCACACACACAGAGACACACACACAGACACACACACAGAGGACACACACACAGACACACACACACAGAGAGAACACACACAGACACACACACACAGAGACACACACACAGACACACACACACAGAGACACACACACAGACACACACACAGAGACACACACACAGACACACACACAGAGACACACACACAGAGACACACACACAGAGACACACACAGAGACACACACACAGACACACACACACAGACACACACCAGACACACACACAGACACACACAGAGACACACACACAGACACACACACACACAGACACACACACAGACACACACATAGACACACACACAGAGACACACACACAGACACACACACACAGAGACACACACACAGACACACACACAGAGACACACACACACAGACACACACAGACACACACAGACACACACAGAGACAGAGACACACACACAGACACACACACAGAGACACACACACAGACACACACACACAGAGACACACACACAGAGACACACACAGAGACACACACACAGACACACACACAGAGACACACACACAGACACACACACAGACACACACACACAGAGACACACACACAGACACACACACACAGAGACACACACACAGACACGCACACAGAGACACACACACAGAGACACACACACAGACACACACACAGAGACACACACACAGACACACACACATAGACACACACCGACACACACAGACACACAGACACACACAGACACACACACACACACCGATTGCCCCCTACCTCGGACCGCAGCTCCAGGTATCCGCTACTCACTCGCACGGTGCCTCTGGAACCTGTCTCCCCCGTGTATGGCAGACACACACCCACCCTCGCCGCGGGGCACCCACACGTCCCCTCGCACACCGCACACAAGAGAAAGACAAAGATCCCCCGTATAGCATTAAAAGACTGTTGGGGCAAGTGCTTTTAGCGAGCACCTATAAAGGCCGGCACGGCGCACGAGGGAGTGGGTGGCCAACGCCACGCCCGGCCGCCTTTATACCCCCAGTGACGATGTTTACACTTCGCACTAGGCACTAATTTGAGGCTGAGTCGACCTAGGAGAGGCCCATGGCCGGTTCAGATAATCGTCACTGGGTGTTGGCCGTGAGCGGGAATCGAACTCGGGTCGCCGGGTTCGGAGCGCAGCACGTAAACCATTTCTCTGCTGCTCCCCAAAACACGCGTGGCACACACATACACGGCCATCCCTCCTCCACGAGCACACGCCCTGCAATCTGATGTGAAGCTCGCACGCAACGGGGGGGAGAAGAGCGGAGGACACGGCGCGAGAGAGGGGACACGGGCACGTGAGGAAGGGGATTTGGGGTAGATTAAAGCTGACGGGGTCGTGGGCAGAGGTGAACCCAGGCTGGCCCAGGTAGACCCGTCTGTTGACAATAGACAACAGCTCCACGCACAGGTAAGCGCGCCGTAGGAACGTATGACCAAATATAAGCGTAAAGTGCTTGTATTATTTACGTGCAGGGATAGAAGCATGCGACGTTTTCTGCGTATTTATTGTGGCGTTCATCGCTTGGTGACTCATACAGGTCTGTACAGCTCCTGAACCCCCATAGGCTGCGACGAGATGGCAGGACAGCAATGGGATTCGTGAACCCATCTGTGCGAAAGGCTTGGGGCGACAGGGGTTGAGTCTCCATCCAGCAGTGGATGATTCACGGCTGATGATGAACAGTGTTGTTCTCTAGTATTCTTAGTGGGTTTCCTCCGAGGAATCCAGTTTCATCTCGTATTAAGCTAAAACATTTCTTATTTATTTCTACGAAGTTTGGGCAAACATCCCAGTGCAGGACCCTCCTGAAAAAAGAGCCATATTCGGCGAGGCTGTTCTCTCATAAATAAATGGCATTGACATTACAGTATTATTATAGATTTTTAGTTTTCGTATTAGTATCTCCCCCACCCCTTCTCCACCCCCCGCCCCCTGCATCTCTCCTCCCTGGCTCCTCCCCCCCTCTTACCTTATATAATCGCTTGTCACAAGTATCTCTCTTTGCCCACTTCAGCAATTTGTTTCTTGCTGTGGTTGTCCCACCTGATGACGGACGCTTGTGTTGCTTCCGAAACGTCGTGATTTACATTTTTTTTTCCACCTACGTGACTTTACCTAAAGAACCAGGGAGTATAGTATTATACATGGTGTAATGCGAGCGTAAACGGCCTCGCGGATATGACGTAACAGGTGGGAGGAGTTGGGTCACGTGGGGAGAGGGAGTGCTTTTAAGGGCAGGAACCGGAAGGGTTGGAGGAGAGTGTGGGAATAAAGACAGGAGGAGGCCACGCAGGGCAGGAGGTGGAAAGTGGCGTGATCGCCACAGGTCGGGACTCGGCACCGTTGGCCAGCGGTGTCCGGGCACGGAGGAGACGGAGAGCCAGCAGCGGGGCTGCATAGAGAGCAGCCGTGGGGCTGCAGGTCGGAGGCAGAGAGGCTGAGTGAAGAGCCAGCAGCGGGGCTGCATTATGAGCCAGCAGCAAGTCTGCGGGAGCAACGGCAGCAGTGGGGCTGCCAAGCGGGAGACGGAGGAGACTCTGAGCGAGACGCCGTGCGGGAAAAGTTGTACGAACCACAATAAAGGACAACGGAGACAGTCCTTTATTACACTGGTGTCAGAAGTGGGGTTGGAAGGGCGGCGGGGCCAGGTGTCCCCGCAGCCGTGGTAGGCCCACCCCGAGCAGAGTCCGCTGCCTCCTGCAGTGTCACGGCCGGTTTGTCTGTCCAGGAGGGTCCTTCCGCGGCACGTCCGTGGTCGAGGCCTCCTGCTGGGACAGCCGCCTCTGCGCAGTGGCCTGCCCGCGGAGGGCCGGGGCCGCGATCTGCGCCGCCGACGCGGGAGCGTCGAGATGGGGGGAGTGCT